CAATGCGAAACGGGAAAAACTGCGAAAAGTCAAGTCAACGAAAATTTTTTTCCCAACGCGGCAAATTTCTCTCATAGTACATACGACCCCCTCCGTCCTCCCCAGCAGCCAAGTAAGACCCCCTGTGTGCTCCTCACAACGATGCTGTACCCTAATACTCGAAGATTCAGCAGGTGCTGATAGGTAAGTGTTGAGTAGCACCTTTAGTTCCTTATTTTTGGACTTGAATGCCGGTTCATCATTCTGCAAAGAATGGAAAGCACATTTAGTAGGGAATATGTGGTAAGGGATCTTATATCCAGATTCATTAGAGTACATACCTTACATTTTCTCACGTTCGGTCACACTGGCACTCCTGCTCTACGAAAATTCGAGGCCTGTTTGGAACATTTCAAGCTCTCCCTAAAATTTACAGACCATTTGCTGACCAGTTCCTAGGCTGTTGTCATTCACTATTCTGGTAGCGTTTATCAACGGATACAAATGAGCAACTTCTACTCGTAACGAGGATTCACCTGTACTTCTGAATACAGTGACTAGCAAACGTTTGATAACATTTGTTTGGAAATGATATTTCGTTAATATTCAATCTTATAACACTCCACATCTCTGAGATCCACCAAAGTGTGGCTACTTGCCTCATTTGAACATGGCACGATGCGCAATGGAACGAGCTACTCGTAAAACGTCTCACTTTGAGGCAAATACTATCTTGTCTTGCGTCAGAGAAAGAAATAGTTACATTCGCCTAATGAGAAAAACATCTCATCGGAAGCGCAGCTACCGTCACGTTCGAATGGGGTAAAGTCGTTTTCCGCTGCAGGCGCTGGTGCGTTTCAAGGGGTGGGGCTGCGTTTTGCGAAGGCGGTTGCTTCCACCAATTGCTGTCACCTGCCCGCTTCAACGATTGGTGGAGTATGGGACTGGGTCCGCATCAAATCCAGCCCTCTGATACGCCACAGTATACAGCAAAAACGACTGCACTTACCCACTCCTACTGCATTCAGCTATCTGGAGGGTACTTTTTGAAAGCTGTTTGGCTGCATCAGCGTTCCACACAGCCTTTATCAGTTTTCGATATTAGTGAGATGAGTGGAAGCTGTCACTGCAGGATTTAGAAAAGGGATGGTCATGAAAGTTATTATTGGTTTATACATGAGCGCCTTAGGATAGGCAAACAGTGGGGAGTGCATCCCTCGTGCAAATTTTAATGGGTTGCTCTCTTCATACGTGACATTTGGCTTTGCTGAATGAGTTTCTCGACTGATGAGACGGATCAATTACGGCGTTTGTTAACAATATTCTAGCAGCTAAATTCCGGACCACCAAGTGTACACGGTCAATACGCAGAGAGGTCAGGCTCATCAAATGGATGCTTTTTGCTCCGATCTCATTGCCTCGTTATCAGTGATTACAAATGACTTTTCGTGAATGTCAGCACTATCGGGAAACCTCACTATGATCAATGTTAGAGTCTATTGAGTCTTGGAACTAAAAAAATGTGTGCTCGACCAACGGACTTCATTGCAAGAATAGCAATTTGCGTAATTTCAGTCTGGGGTTAATTTTCGTTACTTCATAATCACAGACCCCCTCAAATATTAGGTGAACCCTGCAGAGCGTGCTTCGTTTCAACATTTTCCCAGCCACGATGAGTTTCGTGGATGGAAGCAGTTAAAATGGGCAGTGTCAGGGCTATAGGGCACGTTGAAAGAACACCCTTCCACCCTCTCCCCCATCTATCTTCCGCTGAACGGTCCTTGCGTCATAAGGAGTTATTGATGTGACCAAGGCTTTACTCCGAAGAGGTCGAAAGATTCTGAGAATTCGAAAATCTTTCAGGGCTTCTTGAATATTTTGTATCTCTCGGTGATCGTGATAAATATTCACAAGCAGAATCTGCTTTTCAAATATTCAGATCATCGTGAATCTCCGGCACAGTAGAATACTAAAGAGATACAGAAGTAAACGAGAGACTGCTGCATGCGCTAAACTCCGTGGAAGCTCCAAGGATCATGACCCCTGTCATGTACGAGGGGAATAGGTCTGCAGCTGTACACCTATTCCCCTAGCACATGACAGGGGTCATGTAGAGTTGCGATTTTTTTCGTCACTCAGAAGAGCGCGAAAATAAGGCTGAAGGGTAGTGGCAGCTCAATTGCTTTTGATTTCCTTTCATTCCTTCCTACATGCAGAGGACGCAGCACGCGACACGCTGCACTACCAGCTATGTGCCTAACCATCGCCTAGGATGTGCCGTCATCACTCACTGCTTTTTTCCCCTTTTTTCTTTTGAAACTGTTCCAAATATCAGCTCCGTTTACGAAACCTTTTTAGATTGTATCTAATCACACGAGTCGACGAGGCGGAGGTGGTTTATTGTGGCACGCTTACCAAGTGCACGGTCCGGGATCCAATCCTGTATCGACTCCCGCCCAGGCCAACCAAGCCTTCTACCCTCCGGGGACGGTGAATTGGTACCAGATTCGTCTGGGAGGATAAAACACTGACTTGTACATCGGCTGGCCACCGCAAGTCATTGTATAGGCCACATCGCATTCAATGAGCCACTACGATTCCGAAGTGGAAGTGGAATGCGTGAAGTGGAATCCCTCAAAGGGACTGATCAACGGCGGAAAATTTATCCCTTATCCTATCTATTCACACGTTCTGAAGATGCTGGACAGATACAGACTAAGGCTGCGTTCATACCGTGCGACGGCGTCGTCAACGTCGACGTAACCGACGAAAGCGACGTAACCGACGTAACCGACGACTAGTTCACGAAGATTGTATACGTATCGATTCGACGACGAAACCGACGTTTTCGACGAAAGTGACGAAACCGACGTAAGTGACGAAACCGACGTAAGTGACGAAAGCGACGTAACCGACGAAAGCGACGAAACGACGATTTCATCATTAACTGATTTACCTTTTGAATACGGCACCTTAGGGCGGTGTTGAATCCATGCCCTAAACATGAAATTACTTCTATTTTGCAGAGGAGGGAGCAGAAGCGTCTCAGGGCACTTGTCAACCGAGAAGCCTCTCCTCTCTTCTTTTTTCTTCCTCCTTCCTTCTTTTCCTTCCTTCCTTCTCTGATCCCTCCTCCTTTACCTTCTCCCCTCAACTACTGGACTGGTAGATGCCTCGTGAAAATATGCCCTGGAACCTCGCAGAAGAGCGGATGAGTCATCGCGCGCCGCGTGGTTCCCCCAAATACGTTAGCACCCAAAAAAGACAATAAAATTAATTACGATCACGGAGAACAACAAATATATGTCGAATGATATGAAAAAATAAAATGAAATGAAAATAGACGAGTAACAGCAATATGACGTTGTACTGCACACTGTATATACTGGGAACCACATCGATTCCACGTAAGCCACGTGGAATCGATGTCATGGTATTTCTCTCGAAAATGAAGAAGATAGGTTGTAAGGTCACTCAAGAGGATGGAAGGAGATAGGGAAATTGTTTACAAACAGAAAAGGATGTAAATAAGATGTGAAAAATGTTGTGGGGGAAAAACCATCTACGAAAAGCTTATTCTTGGCACAGTCGCCGAAATCGTCAGTTTCGTCGTTTTCGATAATCGATACGTATCTAATGTTCGCGAAGTAGTCGTCGCTTTCGTCGGTTACGTCGCTTTCGTCGGTTTCGTCCGTTACGTCGGATCGATACATATATATTCTTCGCGAACTAGTCGTCGAAATCGTCGGTTACGTCGACGTTGACGACTCGTCGCACGGTATGAACGCAGCCTAAGAAGAGCTGAACTGACCACTCATTTATTTAGCCTAATCGGATTCCGTACTAACCTGCAAGGTACATATCTTCGCTCTACTTCATTTTTTTGATTCGTTGCCGCCTTGTTCTCAGGCTACATCTTTTGAAGTAATATTTCCTTCCTACCACAGATATGGACCGCTGTTCTATAATTCTGCTTGTACTATTATTATACTCCACCGATGCCTACAAGTTCCTAGTTTACTCGCCTATCTTTGCCTATTCACACACAAATTTTATGGGCGCTATAGCGGATACACTTACAGAAGCTGGCCATGACGTGGTGAGTCAGAATAGAAATCATCCGCTATGCTCCCTGGAGTCGTACTGTTTCGGGTAGCTGTAATGTAGGTCTAGTGACGCAACGATAAAGGAGATCCATTTCTATTTATCCTACCGGACCAACTTGAAGAGGGTCAGCAGGACAACAGTAGAAGGATAGCTACTTCGATGAGAATAAGAGTGTTTCCTTGTTCAGATTTTGATATACACCGAACACATTTAAGAAAACGCAACGCAGACCACTCGTAATTCCCAATGTTCCACTCTTTCGAGCTGGAGTCAGACTTTCAATGGGTAAAAATTCTTTCTCACGGATTAGTTTGACCTCTCGGGGCGGCTATCAACTATGCGATAACGCCTGAAATCCGCGGCACAGGCACCAGAACTTCCTGAACTGAAAGTTTGTCATAAGAGCAATTGTACCTAAAAGGTACCCTTCGCGTCGCTAAATTCCATTGAAAATTTGGAGTCCCCGTTTGGATTGCGGCACTCAGGCATTATGTCCTTAATTATTCCGACTTTTGCTACTGTGAGGCAATTTGCTGGCTGAGTACAAGAAACATAGGACACCGGCATCGTAAAAAAGTCTGTGATGGGTAAATATGGCCGGAGCATTTCTGCCGATAGTTAGGAAAACTCTAAATTGCTGTTGTAGACCGTCCTGATGCCGGTATTAGACAAGGAGCTAGAGCATTTTACTGGATTGAAGCTGACAACGAAAATCATCAAAACACCAACAGATCCAAGAGTGGAGGAGAGAATGAAATACAAGTCAGTCATGTTTGCCAACATGTGGACAATGCAGTCTAGCATTTTCAGACTCATGCAGGTGAGAGAAACGAATATCGTGCACAAATCAAAGGAACGTGAATTCTTCCCGTTTCTTTAATCCACAACGGATGAACGGAAGTAGCACGCAAGCGTTTAATAATAATAATAATAATAATAATAATAATAATAATAATAATAATAATAATAATAATAATAATAATAATAATAATAATAATAATAATAATAATAATTATTATATATTATTATTATTATTATTATTATTATTATTATTATTATTATTATAGCAATAATAATAATAACAATAATAATAATACTAATAATATTAGGTTGTT